TTTTTGTGTCCTTGATAAAATCGTTCCAAATTTTGACTAGCAAATCTCTGACCTTGATACATGCCTCTTGCTTCTATCGAATCGTAGTAAATCCCGATTCGTTTATTAGGGTTCCTAATAGTCATGTTGAGGGCTAGATCATAGTAGAGTGTGTTGTTTGTAGTGGAATAATCGAATTGTGTCAACGTAGCATCAGTCACGTAGAATTTGACCTTGTTAGGACGTAGGACTAGCCATAGGACTAATGCAATGACTCCGAGGATGATTAGGATGGTGAAGATTACTTGGAAAATGCAGTTGCATAAGCAACCGAAGAAGCAGCTGCAAGGGTTACAGCTGCTTCCCCGTCCATGTCTGTGGTAGGATTTGGACGGGGGCGGAATGGACGGGCCATAATAGGCTCCGTTCAAGTTGGACATAACTTATAACCAAAGAAAAAAAAAGAATCAAAATTAAGTACGTATTAACTTTTTTTTTATAAAAAATCTATTTGTTGCTTTGAGAATGATATAAGTTTTGGTGAGTAGAGATGAATATATATAGGTGTTTGTTGATTAAACTTTGGTTAATGTGTTAGATATTATTTTTTTTGTGTAGAATGGAAAATATTGAATTGGTAAGCAAATGTGTATTTAATTGAATAGTAGAAAAACGCCGTATTTTTTTATTTGAAAGACACGGTTTCTCTTGACATTTTATTTCTTAGAAATTTCCAATTAAGATATAGTTATTGACTTAAATCTTAGTCAAGATTTTTTATTATTTTTCTTTTCAAAGTACCTTCTTCATATACATATGATGTTTAATTAGTTAAGAAGATAATAATATGAATAGGATATTATGAGAAGAGTAAAGTGGTATATATATAATTAAAATATTTATATTGTGATAGGGACGTTGGAACATTCTTCCTTTTTGTCTAATTTTTCAAGTAGAAGGAAGAATCAACATCACATAGTTCATTAGGGTATTCGTAACAACGATATCGTATATGATGTATTCAGTCTGATTCCACAAATGAAGTCTGAATAAAATATGTACAAATTTTATCTTAAGTAGAGATATATCTTTGGATAAATCTCATTAGGATATTCATTTGATTTACTTTAGTTACCAGTCAATCGTCAATATATATAATTTCATTTGTATAAATAAGGTTCTTTTCATGTGATTCGAATTATAAAAACATTCACTATAATTACATTTCTTGAGGTGCGATCCTTTTCCTCAGCATGCGTGAACACGTAATGCATTTTCAATTGGGTTTTAATTATAATTAACTTGCATTTGTTTCTATTGTATTTTCATATTTCGTAACCTAACCACTCGGATATAATATAAAATATATTTCAAACTATATTTTCAAATTCAAATACTCCACGTAGGTATCATATATATGTTGATTAGGTAATGAAAAGTCTCATTTTATGACTAAATATACATAGATGTTGAAATTTGTATACATGGTATTTTAAGGGTCGCTGTTATTTTTTTTTTAAAAAAAAAATTGTCACGCGTAAATAAAAGATTTGTTTCATACTTGTATGTTGTTGAATTTTAGTTCATGTCTAAATAAAAATTAAAAAAAACAAAAAGAGTGGAAACTTCTATGAAAACAATTTCAAATGAAA